CCCCCCCCCCCCCCACGCACACATCGCTTGTCCTGGTTTGGTTGCTCTGTTTTGGTCTGGCGGCCTCGAGCAGGATGGAGAAGAACATCCACGCGGCCCGCAAGACCCTCGGTCGGCCACTAACCCTATCCGAAAAGATAATCTACGGGCACTTCGACGAGCCATCCACGCTGCCCGTCCGGGGAGAGACGTACCTCAAGCTCCGGCCTGACCGCGTCGCGATGCAGGTAATTCACTCCTACGTTGCTGTTTTTGTTGACCTCGTCCTTCGCTTGCCCCCGGGCCACCTTTTCATCTCGTGCCTTTTGGATGCAATTGTGCGGAATACGGTTTGATTGTGGACACAGGTCGGAAGGTTCATTTTCTGTGTCTGCCCCTGAAGAACAGTCGGATGACGCGGTGCTGCCACTTGATCGGCCATGTAGATGCCGGTTGTGCGTGTGTTCTCCTGTACGTGCTGGTATACTTTGTCTGGGGGTCGTAGAAAACAACTCACCCTCTACAGCATGCCACAGATAGACCTAAGCTGTCGAATGTTTCTCGCGTTCTTTGAGAATGCTGTTGCCCTCTCTGGGTGGTGGAGCACTTCTCGTGACGTTTTTATGGCCGAGATACGGCTTCCATTGTCACATGGAAGGGTCAGGCCTGACATGCATGTTTTTTTTGGCGAATGTGTGCATGGTCTTTTTTCCCCTGTATCTTGGTCTCACCGGTTGTGTTGCTGTGCAGTATACCTTTTGTGTTAAAATACACACAGAAAGCATCTTCGTTGTTACCTTCCCACCATTTTCCAAAGTACCTCACGTTTTTCTCACCTCTACCCCCCCCTTCTTGTTGCCCATGAGACCTCAGACATCGTCGCCCTCCGTAAAAATCGTTTGGTACAATCGAAACTTGCAGGACGCAACCGCTCAGATGGCGGTGCTTCAGTTCATCTCGTCTGGCTTGCCGAAGACGGCTTGCCCCACCACGATCCACTGCGATCACCTCATCGCCGCCGAGAGCGGAGCCGATTCCGACATGGCTGCGGCCAAAGTCACCAACAAGGAGGTTGGTGATTGCCGTCACTGTTCAAGTTCGCATCCGTCCGAATTGACGTATCTCAGTTCTGTTTCACGCTTTCAAGCTTTCAAGCTGCCATCACCGCCGCAACCCGTGGCAGTTAGACCTCTTCCCACTCTGTTTAATTATTTTCGTTTTATGTTTTTTTGTCCTCAGCATGCGTGTTGTGTGCGATGGTCTTGCTGATGTCATCATCCACCATCCATGGTCCATGATACATAACCCAGGTGTACGACTTCCTGGCGTCTGCAGGAGCCAAGTACGGCATCGGATTCTGGAAGCCCGGATCGGGCATCATCCACCAGGTTAGTTCCTCGCGTATCGCCAATCCTTTTGTTGCGTGGCACACGGGACAATCTAGCCCTCGGTGGGCTCAGACCACCTCGTAGCCTCAATGTATTTCGATGATTGATGACACGTAGGTTGTTTATACTGACATTCTTTTTGTTCATGAATTTTGGCGATGGGTGGTGCCCCCCTCCTCCCCGTGCTCTGTCTCCGTTGCGGTGTGTGGTCAAAGGTGGGACATTGGGAAGCATGCGCCGAATGATTGAATGATTGAATGAATTAATGAATTAATGAATTAATGCACGGCAAATGGGCGTTGAGCACCCACGCATTGAGCGTATCTCCAATAGGGGAGGAGTCTGCTTTTTCAATGCTCAAGCGAAAGAAGATGAGCAAAGCATGAGTGTCCCCCCTCCCCTATTCCACCCCCCCCCCCCCCCCCCCCCCC